CTTTTTTTAAAAAAAGAAAGTGAATGTAAGTGGTTTGTACCTTCCAAATATTTATTTCATAGTATTTTTTTCTTTTATTTTTATACCGAGCCTTTCCAGTCATTAATTCATAAAACCTATGAATGATTTTTTTTAAAATTGGCAATAAGACATGTGTATGATCATTCATCTTAGAGGGAGTATATCTCTGATCATTAAGTCTATCAGCAACTGAGGAGTTTCACAACAGGATCATTTGCTGGAAATGAACCGCTAGACTCGGTACACATTGATTTGTTCCAACACTTGTTGTGTTCTTTGTTGCATGATGTGATGAATTTAAGTCTTTAGATAAAAACCATTAAACACCTCAGTAAATACATATTTACCTCATCTTTTCTAGTGGTTTAATTTTATGACTAGGTGAATTAATGGTTTCAAAATGTCTTATTGTTTTATATAGTGCAAATGTTCATTTTGGAAGCTGTCTTTGAGACGTCGAACAGAATTATTTTTAACAAGGTGACTGAAAATATTTTAAAAGGAAACACCAACCATAAGTCTAACTTTGCTCTCGTTCACAAAGGATTATGCAAATGACCCGCTGCAAAACTAACTCAGGAGTTAACATTGTCAGATGTATGTCTGATACCAAAATAGCCGCTTAAATTTAGCATGTGGTGTGACTGTTGCCTTCCCAGATCCTCCCAATCTCCACCAGAGCAGCTGCAGCTAAAAATAGAAGATGATAACAGAGAGGGTTTCTTGGTCAGAAAAACAGATCCCGAGTAACTGTCAGAGTCACAGAGCAGCCATGCACTCGCTACGGTTTCTGAGTGCTGAAGTTCTGGTATCCAAGGGGCAGCTGGTAAGACAGAACCTGAGCCATCTTGCCCATAACCTCTTCCCTCTTCTTTTTAAGGCAAGCTACTTACAGGAGCAGGTGGAGGTAATTCATGACCTGGTGGAGAACTGGCCACTGGCCGAATTCAATATTGGAAAGTTACTGGGAAAGACAGCTGATCACCCAGAAGACATCAGTAACCGAGCCTGTTCTCTGTGCCTGGCCAGCTGCCTAGCTGGTTTGAAGGACTATGTTTTGAATTGCTCATCACCCTATGCGAAACGACTGAAAACTGTGGACTTAACAGGCATAAAGGATGTGGAAGTTCAGCTCTGCCCTTGTAGGAAAACAATGGGGCGGTGGGCCCGGACAGAGCTGCTCTCGAGGACCTGCTATGATCTGCTGGTGGACATGCAAAACTTGCCCTTCCTTCCAGATGTGTTTGAGGTCTCGGTGGATGTCTTTGCCGACATCTTTGTTACTGAACGAAGCTATGAGGTGGTTGTCCAGGCCCTGCTAATGAGGTGTCACTGCCCACTCAAAATCCGCTGCAAAGCCTTCCGGGTGGACAACCTGGCTCTAAGGAAGCTCTTCTACATCATAAAGCTTACAGAGCCCTCTTCCCTGGGCAAGTTTGAAGTAGTTCACAATGTTAGGCTCCATATGGAACATTTGCAAGTGCTTTTTAATAACGTCCAATTTCCTAAACTGGCATCGCTCACACTGCCAGCTGGGACCTTTGATGTGAGAAGGTTCACACCAGAGGATGAAGCCACTCTTTCAGGAATTGGGGAAAAGATGAGCCAAATGACTCAGCTAACAGAGCTGAGCCTGGCATTTTCCATCCTCACCGGACGGCTCCGCAAACTGCTCAGGTAATGCGTTTCAGATTGCTTTTGCTGGTGAGTCAAAGTGCCAGGCAATTGGAAATGCATGAAGAAAGGATGAGGTATCCCTGCAACTACTGTTGCTGGGTGGAAAGCATGGTGATGGAAACAGCAATTGCATGTTGCTGTTTAATTGATAACAAGTCACTCACTCACCAGGATGGTTCCATTTTATTCTAGTCTGACTTGGAAAGGAATTGAATCTGACAGAAACCAGCTGGCTCAAATTGTCTCCTAGACACTCTAGCTAAGAGAAATGAACTCAGATTTTCAGTGGCTCAGGCCAATGTTTAATAAGAGACCAATGAAATGCTCCCATGGGGATTTCCGGAAAAAATATTCTGCTGGAAGGTTTTCTACCTGCAATGTATGAGACATTTTATACTTTGCGGTTAATAGTTAATAGTCCCGAGCAATTGGTATCCAATGGCTACAGGTTATACCACTATGAGCAACAATGCCTTTTTCCAATTCTTTGATTGTTTTACCCTTTCTTTCGGTTTACAGAACATATTTATATATCACTACAGAAAAGGAATTAAGTCTGGCATAATTAGCACTGATCTGTAATCATGACTTTAAAAATGTAGCAGTTTGGGGAAAATTTTATTTGGCATCTGATCAAGTTTTAAATGATAAACCAAAGGAAAGTCTCTTTCTATACAAAGTATTTATATTTCACATATGAAAATAATATCTCAGTTGTAATTTGCTATCAAAAGCAGATTTATACTGGAGAAGATCTAATTTTTTTATCCCAAAACTATATTGGGGGCACTTTCTGAGCCAACAATCAAAGCTATGTCAATTACAGTATTCTTGCTAGGCCTGAGGCAGAGAAGAAATTATGGGCAACTACTGAATTCATTATTTAAGTCACCATCCTGGCATGGAATTTCTTTCTTGAGCTCAGGCATGTCCAAGCTACGGCCCATAGGTTGCATGTGGTACTGGACAGCTAATGCAGCTCCACAAGATAATGAAGTTTGTCATTAATAAAGGAGAATATTTGTAGCTCAGGATTGAAATGAAGGGTCCTTGGTGCTCTCTGAGCTTGATTATTTTCTTGCAGTTGTTTTATTAACCAAACTAGGTTACATCATCAGTGCTAGTTACCTAGTTGAGGCAATGAAATGTCTGCAAATGAACAACCAAGCTGACAGAGCCCCAAGGCCCCGTGAAATTTGTTATGTATATACATTATATAATTTATATGCAGCCCAAGACAACAACGTTTGACTCAATGTGGCCTAGGCAAGCCAACAATTGGACAATCAAGCTTTAGATAGAAATCTAAAATAATAAAGGATCAAGAAATCCTAAATTTTTTGATAAAAAGTTAAGGATTCTTTTTTCTGAGGTGGGAGGTGACATAAAAATTAAAGTAAAATTCATAAATTTAGGTGCACATAAGGAAGCACTTTTTAAGCCAATATATTTGTCTTCTTAAATTTTGAGCTGCTACTCAATCATACCAGCAGTCCCTCTAATTGGCCAAGGAGGAGCATGCACACAGAGACACAGATACAAACACCCACCCACACACAGAGAGAGAGAACAACAGAAACCCTATCCCCATTCTCATTCTTCTGTTGCCACATTTTCTTGGAAAAGAAAAGCATAACAACACAATCTACAATATAGGGAATGTTGCACAAACCATTGCCAAACTCTTTCAAAAGGTTTGTGCTCTAATTCTCACTGCAGATTTGGACAAAGGCACCACAATATTTAAAGGATTGTTTTACGTGCGTTTCTTAAAGATTGAGAACATGGAAATGGAATACAGGAAAGCCTTAGCAAAAATATGCTACAGAAATCTCCTTTTTTCTACCATGTTCTTATATTCATTGATTGGATCCCAGGCCATCACTGAGATAGCTTCAAGTCACTTATTTAGTTGTACTGCAAAAAATTGTTATTCCCCTTAACACAAGTTTTGCTGAGAATAGAGCAATGCATTCCACCAACCACTCTACTGATGGGGCTTTCAGGTGCCCCCCGAGCAGCTTGGGATCAACCAGGGACCTATTGGCCACTTTAGGTTGATGCAGTCAGACTCCCTTTTTTCCAGGTTTCTTGACTCATAGCCCAGAGATCTAGGTTAGTTAGTTTGGATAGCAACTGACCAGCAATGGCAGAGCAGATGCTGCACAATGCAAGGTGAAAGAGAAAGCCATCCAACACCTGAACAAGTTTTGAATGAGAGCTAAATCTAGTGGTATCAAAATTTGCCTCTTCTCTAATCCCATTCCACATTAAAGACAGTGGCAGATGATGATATTTGGTGAGAGGAGAAGAGAACAAAGATATGAGGCTCCACTTCCTCTCCTTAATAAGGTCTCTATGGACAAGAAGGGTTTGGATATTTGGGAACGACACATCTAAGGCTTGATAGGGATTGCTAAATTTGGGGCGGGGGAAGTATCTGCATTCAGTAAATGTTATCTGAGGAGAGCCTTGTGTCAGCTCATTGACTGTTAGACATCTTCATTTGGTCATGAAGAACCCTGAATCAATATTTTCATCAATTTTGTGGGCACTCTAAAGAATTTGGTATATCATACCCTGGTTTGACCTCTCCTCTGTTCAGCCTACTCTTTCTGAAATGCTTGAATACTTGAAAATAAAGTGTCTCAACCTCAATACAAATGTCCTGTTTACATCTCGACACTGTGTGAATGGAAACTAATTTATTTCTACTTTCTTCTTCCTGTACTTCAATCAGCCACCAATCTATATGAGGACTTCTCCTCTTATCGCATAGTTGCTAAATTTGCTCAGAGTCTTTGATGAGTGACTTTATTAAAAGCCTCTTGAAATGCCAAATAAACAAGGTCTGGCAATTGAATCATATCCACTTACTTGATGAAACTTTCAAATGTCTCTAAAAAAAATTAGTGAGGCAGGAATTACCTTTGCACAAACCATACTAAAGAATTAGCAAAAAGTTGCCATATGCCCAGATGACCATTCTATTTTTTAATACCACTTTTACATCAATTTACTTAGCTAGGTGATCTATACTTTTCTGGGCCCTTTTTAAAAAATTGATGCTAGAGCTATTTTCCATTCTTACGTTACAGAGGCTAGTCTATGCATGTTTATTTATCTTGTTTTTAAAAGCTGTAGAATGGATTAGTACAATTATTGGATTTGTTTTATTGAAATTTCCAGTCCTTTGAAGACACCGCTGAAAATGCTGGATGTTTCTAACTGTTCGCTGAACCATCTTGACATGGCTTATTTAGCCAATAGCCTACATTCTGAGAAACTAGAAGCTCTGGATATCAGTGGACATGATGTGGCTGATTTGTACCCATCAACCTTCTTCAAACTCCTGAACCATTCATCTTATACACTCAAAAGTCTCACACTTGAGGAATGCAACATTCAGGACATTCATATCAACATGCTGATTTTAGGATTGGTTCCTTGTCGGAAATTAGAGGAGCTGAAGTTCCTTGGAAATCCTCTATCTTCTCGAGCCTTGAAATGCCTTTTTAATATTTTTATTGATTTTCCAAGGCTGAAATATATCGAATTTCCAGTTCCGAGAGATTGCTATGCAAACAACATCAGTTACCCAATTGGCGAAAGTGATCTTTCAAAATTTGACCACCAGAAGTATGAGAGAATAGTCGAAGATCTTCACATGATTTTATTGCAAGCTAAGCGGGAAGACATCAAGGCTTCTACTCCCCTCTATGGAGGGTATGATGCTGCAATTCAAGAAACGGGAAACGAACTAGGAATTTCTTTGTTGAAGTCATTCCAAGATGCCCTACAAAGTTTCAGTGTGGCCCTTAAGGAAATGAGCTGACATTTGAAGCTGAACAGGTATATGCAAACAAAATGTGAGCGCATATGGAGAACTGAAAAGGGTTTGTTGTCAGAGGTAGTATTCAGCAGGTTCTGACCAGTTCTGGAAAACCGATAGCAGAAGTTTTGAGTAGTTCAGAGAACCGATAAATACCACCTCTGACTGGCCCCGCCCCCATCTATTCTCTGCCTCCCAAGTCCCAGCTGATTGGGAGGAAATGGGGATTTTGCATTAACCGTTCCCTGGAGTGGGGAGGGAATGGAGATTTTACAGTCTCCTTCCCCTGCCACGGTCACCAAGCCACACCCACAGAACCAGTAGTAAAAAAATTTGAATCCCACCACTGTTTGTGGTACCCTCAAACTTTTATCATGGTCACCTGAAGATCTCCTGTATATCCCCTTTGATATTGGTTTGATCTTCTAACATCTTCATTTCTTGAGAAAATTCAGACATACAGTACATACTAAAAATAAGATAAATCACAAATGTATAAAAAAGTATGCATGAACATACTGATGCCCATCTGTTCCCTATTACACAATTCAATATTGGGCAGGCACTTTACTTAGGGAATTCCAGAGCAAGCTCTAATGCAGTAAATGCAAAATTACAAACCATATTGCATCCTTCCTCATTTCCTATATATCCTACATATCCTATAGATATTTTGGCAAAAAAATTGAAGCCCTTGTTGGCAAATAAAATATCTGATATGGATGCTAAATAGATGGCTGTTTCAGAATGCTTCGATACATGGTACTATTTTTTAAGATCATGAGCCAACCTGAGATTTCTAAATGCCTATGCACTCAATATTAAGGTGAGATATTCCTGCCAGTCTCCTTTTTTTTTAAATTTGTAGAATGGACATTTTATCCTAGACAGCCCAACCTACCCAGTTTGTCCAAGAGAACATGATTAAATTAAATACTATACTGATATAAGTGAGAGAAATGACTATCGGTCTTTAATTTTCAGCGTTTTTCTTGGTAAATCAGGTTAAGTGCAGCATGTGGCTGACTATATGCAAGAAATATAGAATATGTGTATTTTTGCCTGATTTTGACTGACAGTGTATTTGATAATAATTACAGAGAATTAACAAGTATATTGAAATGAGTTTTTCTCTTAGAATTCTTATTTTTCTGCTTAGCTTCTCATTCTCTAGCAATTTATCTGCCAGATTCTGAATCAAAAAAGGGAAATATAGGTAGTTGTCAACTTATAACAATTCATTTAGTGACCATTCAAAGTTACAGCAGCACTGAAAAATGAGACTTATGACCTTTTTTAACACTTATGACCATTGCAGCATCCCCATGGTCACATGATCAAAATTCAGGTGCTTGGCAACTGGTTCATACTTATGACCTTTCCTGTGCCCCGGGGTCATGTAATCCCCTCTGCGACCTTCTGATCAGCAAAGTCAGTGGGGAATCCAGATTCACTTACTAATTTAACAAATGTAACGATTCACTTAACAACTGTGGCAAAAAAGTCGTAAAATGGGGCAAACTCACTTAACAAATGTTTCACTTTGCAACATAAAAGTCATAGACATTTGTTATGGCTCATTGAATATCTAATATGGGAAGGAGGCACAGATAGGGAGATAGACCCTATATAAAACACAGAAAGAGCAAAATTTGCTAATCAGGGGAAAGAGGTTGTCAAGGGTGCATTCATTGTCACTCCTCTTCCTTTTCCTCGCTGCTTGTCTGGGGATTATACCCTGTTTTCCTGAAAATAAAATCTTCCTGGATAATAAGCCCAGTTGGGCTTTTGAGTGCATGCACTAAAATAAGCCCTCCCCTGAAAATAAGCCCTCCCCTAAAATATTGCAACACAGCAGTAACCATGAGATGACCACGCTCGCCACCTCCTGCACTTCAAAAATAATAAGACCTCCCCGAAAATAAGACCAAGTGCTTATTTGGGGGGGTTCAAAAGAAAATAAGACCCTGTCTTATTTTCAGGGAAACGGGGTAGGTTAGCTTCACTTGCAGCACACAGTACAAGGTCTGTACAGAGTCCTCACAGAAGCTCTAGCGCAGCGTTTTTCATGCCTGACAACCTTACAAAGTATGAAGAACACTGTTCTGCACCAGAATGGACAACCTGAAACCCCAGGTCACCTGAGGTCTCCAACTTTGCTAACATTTTTGTTTTTCCTGCACTCCTCAAGACTCTGTTTACAATTTCTGAAAATCAAGTGGAGAGTTCCCCACTATTGTGAAGGAAGTAGTGTAGAATGTAAGCCCTGGATAGCATGATATGTGCATTAAAAGACTAAAAGAATTCTTTTCTAAAGGATTTTAGAGGGGGAAATCCTTCTAAATCCTAGAAATTTTTTTCTAGGAGGTAAAATCTGTTTAACCAGCATGTCAGGTACAGGTTCTCTTTCTATATTGCTGTCTTATTTGATCTTTGAACCTTCCCAAATGTACAGTGGAATGTGTCCTTCCCACCACCACCCCTTAAAAAAGATTTCCAAGCTTTCAAGCAAGAGTGCCAAGGAAGCCCTATAGATTAGATATAAATCTCTGATCCAAAGCATCTTATGTTCAATCAGGAAAACCAGAATGCAGAAAATGAGAAGGGGGGGGGGAGCTGCTGCAGGGGAGCTAATGAACTGCTATTATCTCAAATAATGCTAAGTTCCAGAGAAACAAAATATTTTTTTCCAGGTCTAAAGTACCTTGCTTATATCTTGCAAAATGTGTGTTTGAATCAATTACTTTTGAACAAAGGGAAGATTATTCTTAATTATGCCTTTGATCACTTTCTTAACAAAAAACACTGCATATAAAGCAGGTCAACCTGTACAGGGATCTGATTTTAAACTGCATTGTTCTCTGAGTCATCATTTAATCCTAAATAAAGTCATAGACATTTGTTATGGCTCATTAAATATCTAGCATGTACGCATACAAACACGCACACAACAATGGAAAGAGAATTTAGTGTGGACACTAAATGAAAACAGAGTATTGGTTCATCTTCCATAATCAAAAGTAATATCCAAATGAGGAGAAATGAACACTGATTATTCAGCTTTTATTTTTAGTGCATTACTTTTCCATAAGGATGTTATGGCTGAGGTTCCTTCACATCCATTCCAAATGGACACTTTCCAATTCTTTATCTCACCACTTTTTCGGATACTTTCCTTTTTACATCTTATTCACTAAGTAACTATCTGCCAACATTTTACATCCCCGAACTTCCTCACTGCTCTTAACTAATGACACTTCTGATCTTATAGAGCAGCAGTCCCCAACCTTTGTGGCTTGGCAGCCCAGCTGGGAGTGGGTAGAGGGGAGCCTTTCCTACGGCATGCACACACATGTTTGCATGTGCACAGCTTCGCTCACGCAAGAGAGAAGAGAAGCCCTTAGAGCATGGTTTTGCAGTCTTTCAGGCTTCTCAATGCCAAAAGCTTTTGCAAAAGGACAGGAAGTCTGAAGTAGTGCGCGATTACTCTCCCGAAGACTTTTGTCCATTTGCAAGAGCTTTTGGTGCAGAGAAGAGACGCCTTTGGGGGAGCAGTCTTCTGCCCCTTCAGACTCACCCAAAATTGGTTCAGGCATCCACTGGACAACCTCGGTGAGTCAGCAAAACTGAGCAGGGCACCCTCATCCTACTCAGCCTCTGCTCTCACTGCTTCGCTTTTGGAGCATCGGGTGTAAGCCGTTTGGAAGCCCAGCTGGGGTAGGGGAAGAAGGGAACAGGGGTGTGTGAGCAGCGGGCCAGTGTGCATGGGCACGCAGCTCCATTCACACAAGAAAAAACAATGGATTCTCACATGGCCCGATTCCAAATAGGCCATGGCCCAGTAGTGGGTCGCACCCCAGGGGTTGGGGACCCCTGCTACATACTACATTTTCACTCTAGACCTGGGATTCTCAGCTTTGACAGGTTTAAGATACAAGTTGTCTGGAGAACAAGCAAGCTGGCTGGAGAATTCTGGGAGTGGGACTCTAGGCATCTTAAAGTTGTCAGAGTTGAGAAATACTACTGTAGATCCACCCTATTAGAATTCTGATTTGTGTAAATCCGAAACTCTTTCTCCATTTCCTCTTAACTTTTGCCCTACTACCACAGATGAGTCTTTGTTACTTTTATTTGGAGAAAATTCAGTATTAGATATGATGATCAAATAGAAAAAGGCACTAGGAGAATTGGAATGATTATTCTTGGGATAAATAGTATTTTCCAGCTATTGTCCCAGGAACTGAGTTACTTTTATCACAGAAGCAGTTGATCTTCACACTTGATTAGACTGTAAAGTCAGCACTAGTGAGCTATTGATTTTGCAGTTATGGAGCTTGTATTTTTAGGCTAAATAATTAAAGCATTACAAATTGAACCTAAGGATGCATATCACCTAATTTAATGCAGACATGAAGTGTAATTCGAAAAGAATCTTGTATTACACCTTGATTTAACTCTGATGGAGTCAACTAAAGCAACATATGCTTGCTTCAGTAGTCAGATTAGGGCTCTTGTGGTTTACACTAATGCAAAATGCCTTGCTTTACAATATTTTAGAAAAAAATAGCATTCTTGTGAATGTTAGAAGGTGGAATTATGTGAAGGAAAACTTACCATGTAACAATGACATCATCTTCATCTTCACTTATACCAGGGGTGTCAAGTTCATGATGTCATGGCATCATCACGTGATGTATCATGACTCCCCCCTTGACTAAACCAGGTGTGAGCGTGGCCGGCACGTAACACATCTGGCCCACAGGCCGTGAGTTTGACACCCTGACTTATACATACATGTGTAGGCATTACATTGGTTACAGGATTTGTGGGAGAAGCTCACATAGGGGTTTTCTGAATGGATATCTGCAGGTACCATTTTCTTGCCAATTATAGTGAACATTTGCTGCATTGTAGGGGATCCTGGAAATATTTAGGTATGCCTTCAGATGAATATTAGTTTCTGGCCATATCTATCCAGCCATCCTGCTTCAGTGTTGTGTGAA